CCAGAGGCCAAGAGCAAAGCTAAGTAAGTGATATTTTCCTAACCGGTTTTGGGTTTTGGGTACCACCCTGTATCTTTACAGAATGTTAGGCTTCTCTAAATTTTTTTAATATATCTGAGAGAATTACAGACCTTGAGTCTAGCTGCCTCCTCTCTGTCTTTCTGCATGTGTGTCTTCTCACAGGTAGGTATAGAATGGTGTGAAACTCATCCCTCAGTTCTGAAATTGCAGCAAAGGCAAGTTTGTCCTGTGGACTGTTGCACCTTGTGCAGGGGGAAGCACATCTCTGTGTGCTCTGTGATTAAAAAGAGGATGTAAATTATCTGCATATTCTTGCTCTTGTTTACCTTTCATACCTCTTTAGCTGAGGAGAGCAGACTGAGCTACAGTGTGGGTCTTTGTTGTCTGTGGGCAGGTTCCGTGAAGCTTTCCCCTAGCCAGTGGGCAGAGCACGTCCTAGGAGTGGACAGGATGCAGGCAGTGCTCTGGGTGTCTTGGTTTGCTCTGTAGTCCAGCTCAGGAGAGATGTTAGTGGGCTCTGGAAGAGAATTAGTCACAGTCCTCTGACCTGTAAAGAAAGCCTGTGGTGTGTTAAGGCTTTGAAAGGAAGGAGTATGTACTTGAAGCACACGAGTACTCTTACAGTGTGGGCGCAAGGAGACAAGACCATGTTGAGAAAATTACTTGCATCCAAAATGCTATTTGTAAGAAAAGTGATACATTTACATGAACACATTCCTGTCTTCCCATTCCCAGAAGTTCCATTCTGTGTGAGTCTATTATCTTTCGTACATTCTCTGTATTTCGGGTTTTTTAAGAATCAGCCCCCAACAGAGCCAGTGCCAACCACTTGCCGGGTTTGAGGAGATTCTTCTCTTACAGAATTTTTGCACAATTGTCAGGGTTTAAAATTAAGAAAGCACTTCCCAAGTATGTACCTGACAGAGGGCACTTCAACTTCTGAGTATTCTGCTGTTCACAAAAACAAACACAGCAAAGCTGGAGGTTTCTGTGAGGTGAAAAAGTAGCTATTCTAAATAGTGTTGGTAATACAGGGATTTCTGCCATACACCCCATTTTATTTTTTTTATCCCAATGTTTCTTTTGCTGTTCTTTGTCGTTCCATATATGCTTCCGGAATATTTTATGTTTATGTATTTATCCTTCTGAGCTTGCTTTGGGTTTCTCCCCGTGCCCCAGTGACTTTCCATTATTGTTTTCTGCCTCTGCTCCCAGTTACATTTCTTCATTGGGGAGTGATTTTTTTGAACAAGGTGTGTTCAGAGTGGGCTTGGCCTCAGATGTGTAGAGCACAAGATTTCAAGGCCTGGTCAAACTGATACCACTGATTCCCCCAGAAAGAGGAAACTGCACAGAGGCTTTGAGGAAGTGGGTGAGGTATAGGGAAGGAGTCTTTGTGGTTACTGGGGCTTCACAGCACACCTGCAGTAGTGCATAGGAGAGGACAATAACTGGGGATAATCCTAAGTATATGCTTGGTCAGTTAAGCTGCAAGAATCCAGTGGTTTTTTGTTTATTTTGAACTCAATATTAAATTAGATTGCAAAACTGAAAAGGAAGATCTCAAGGAAGTACACTAGTCAGAGTTGCACAAGTGAGGAACAACAGGTTAATTTTGACTGGGTATTTTGTATTAGAAACAGGGAAAAGCAGGGAAATGGAAACTGAACTGAAAGCCCACATGGAGAGATGTGTCCATCTCTTTACTGCAGTGGAAGAGAAAGATGTAATTTACAGAAAAAGGGTTTTACCTTTCTTTTGAGACTTTGGAAGATGCCCTGTGCCTGGGAAGTTGCATGGATCTCAGCATACTTCCAGGCTGGAGGTGTGGGCAGCTTTTTCAGTCTCCTGACGTGCCCTGCTCCTGGGACACTGCAGTTGCTGCCAGCCCACCCCTCCCCACAGACCGAGAGCCCTGCAGTGGGGAAGGGGGTTCCTGTGGCTGGGTTAACATCAAGCTCTGTATCTGGTGGGACGGATGGTGCCAAGGGGACCTGCTTCTCCTTTTGCACATCTCTTGTTTCAGCCTATCTGCTCAGCTTCCTCTCTGCATGTGGAAGTGATAGTCTTGATACAGTGTTCTCTACAGCCTGAACATCTTGAACTACCATCATCCTTCCTCTCTTGCCATTATCTTTTAAGCCATAATGACCCAACTGCATGCTGATTTTTCTCATTTCTTTTCTTCCGTCATGTTTTTATTCCTCTTGCCACACTGTTTTGTGGAGGAGCTCCTTCTCTCTGGGCTTGTATCCTGCTCAGGAGTTGTTTACTTAAACTTGATGCTGGAGCTTATGGTTTATAGTGGGCCGTTAGTCTGGCTTGTAAGTTTAGTATTGATGCTCCCATCCCGAACATCCCCGAAGTTGAAATGGATTTCAACTTCCATTGAAGTAATGTGATTGTGCTAAATTGTTTATGCTAAAACCTTGTCCATTTGCCTGTGCCCCGGTACAGGCTGTAGCTGAGTGCCTGTGCGTTGACACAGAGATCTCCCTTGTGACTTTAGATATGTTCTGGTGAAGATGAGAAGTACCGCGGAGACGGGCTACTGTTTCAACATCAGGAGACCCCGACTACAGGAAAAACTGGTCTTACTGAAATATGATCCCATTGGTAAGAGCTTGGGAAAGAAGTCTGTGCTTTCTATAAGCTTCTCTGACTGTGTGGGGCAAAAGATTTGAATGTAACAGGATTTTTCCCATCTAAGCAGAATATGTCATAACATGTTTCATACTCAGATGACTGTACACTTGCTGTTCTTCATGACGTTCCAGTGGGAAGTAAGCATTACCCTCATTTTACAGATTGTGGCAGGGAAACAATGTAATGACTTGCCTGACACATCAGAGACTTTGATGACAGCCATGCCACATGTCACTGGCAAAGCCAAGTGACACAGGAGTTCTTTCATTCTGTTTCTTTGTGTGGTTTGCTAGACTGTGCTACCTCCAACAAGCAGTCACGAAGTGTGCATCAACAGAAGCATTCTGTTAAGTTGCCATGGGTGCTCTGAACAATAAATTTTAACCATCACTGACAAAAATGGACTTTTTCTTTTAAAGAAGTAAACACAGTTTCTTCCTCCTCCACAAACAATGCTGCTCTCCAGATGACAGTTAGTGGGTTCCTTTATATTCCTCTGGTCCTTGCAAATTTTCTCAGCTTAAGAATCTGATTTGTTGGGGGGGTTATAGCACGTGCAAACTGCCATTTGCTCACCCAGCTTTTTAAAAGTTGACTAAGAGTTCAAATTTCTGTAGTTAACATTAAAAAGCTGAATTTAGTGTTAAAAAGGTTAATTTGGGTAAACTAAGAATTTGAACCAGACCATGCATGGTGGAGGTAATACAAAAAAGGGCTTATTTAAAGCTATAAACTAAAGGAATGTATTAAGCAGCTCCAAGTAGATAATATAATGCATAGCCAGCAGTTATGTGGTTCATGCTTATTTTTTCTCATAATTTTATGTGCTTCTTAGATTACTATCTTTTCATTCTTAGAATTAATAGTACAGGAGTTTTATGACAGGTGAGAGAAACCACCAGAGAAGCAATATGCTCTCATCAAAGCTGACAGAGGTTGTGGCTTTCCTTTTGAATTCCATACAAAAGGGAAATCAGAACTCTCTTGGACTATTTTCTCGAATAAGAAAAATTCAAATTACTGCATTGAAGCATTGTGCAAAGTGATCCTCCAGAAGCTTTGCAACTTGTAGGAAAGTGAAGAGCTCAGACAGAACATGTAGTAGGTTTCTGAAGTAAGCTCTGATCTTTGTAGCCTGTAGTAGAACACAAGTGAGAAATAGATGTGAGAAAGTGCTGCATGTGTGAAGGGAAGTAAATTTGAGTCTGGATAACAACTCACATCAGGAATATGTTAGGAAGCATTTTCACTTGGCACGCATTTTCACCTTATGTTTTGTACTTCTCAGAAACCTGGGACCTCCACAGAATGAAGCTTTTTAGTGAAGTAGTGGCAGGAGTGCCCAAGTTTCACTACCTCCTAGGTGCAGCAACAGAATGTGTTACTAAGCTGCAGTATTTCTTAAAACGAAACTTTTATGTGGAAGAAGAGATTTTGTTACTGTGTGGATTGCTCTTGCATAGCTTTCAAAGGAATTCGTAAAATGAAGTTGAATCAAACGGTGCTTTTCTAATGACACTATAAAGCTTTTCTTTAATGTATTTTGTAATTTGGGGGTTTTAGTAATATATTGACTATGCTTAACCTGTAGCTGAAGTGCCAAATGACTTTGCCAATATCTGCATCAGGTGCTAGGGGCGGGGCCAGTTTATGCCCCTGTGGAGAGATCCACAGGACACTCGGTTAACTTCTCAGGCAGACTGTGAGATCAGCTATATCCGGCTCATCAACTGTAGTTGTTTGGGCTCTGGAGTTGAAGAGTAGTAGAAAGCAGTAAGAACCTATTTTTGTCCCTATATGGAGCAGCTGTGACTCAGACTAGTCACACAGAGCAGCTGTTGAATGCTTTCAGTGATTCCAATCCTGATACTTATTCTCACAGAAGTGGACCTCTTAGGAACTAAAAATTACATGAGGTAAAGTGAAAGCACTACTAAACTCCTTCAGGAGTTGGTTAACAGCGGTGCTGTGCCAGTCGGTTGCTCCACACTCATTTAAGCAATGAAAGCAGCCAGGAGAAAAGGGACGTGGGCTCGTTGAATTGAATTTTAACACTTCAGGCTTCTTGACAGATTTTTTTTCTTCCCCTATAGCCAAACAACGTGTCCTCTTCACAGAGAGGAAAAAAATCCGCTCAATGTGAACAATGACTGGACTTGATTTATGCATGAGGAGAGGATGGTCTGGGGGGAAGGACGGGGTGAACGCTGATTCAGAAATCCAGCAACATGGGCTGAAAAGAGAGGAAATGAACTGGGATCACCGTCTCCTGTGATTTGAAGGCCATTGTGAATAAAACAATGTAGAGAGAGAAAATTCTTAATGTCTGGACATAGATCATCACAGTAACATTTATTTATCTTGAGTTATTTTTACAGTACTCAATTAAAAAAATTAAATAGCAAATCCCATTGTCTGTGTTTTCCATTGTGAAAGAGGCTGTAATCTTCAAAGGAACTATTGTTTTATAAAGCAATAAAAATTAACATTTTCCACAGCAGGAATTCAATGGCAGGATTGCAAGTTTTTCTAACCTACCAGCCGCAGATGTGACAGTAGTGACCACAAGCTGGTGTCATTCATTGGAGGGGTAATGTTTGCACCAGCTCCTTCTGAGGAAAAAAGCAATGGGAACCTAGTCATGTAAGATGAGGTTTTGGATAAGCTATGACCACGGTTAAAAGGGCTATATTATTTTCAGCCAGGTTAGTAGGATGGATTTTTCCCTCCTGGGTTTTTGTCAGACGTGAAGAAAGCAGACAGAGTACTTCTCTGATCATTTTGGAAGCTTTCCTTCCTTAATTAGCTTGCCTATGTTTAGAGCAATATGGCTAGAAACATTTTTCAAAGTCTACCTCCAGTAGCAGTCTTGTCCTCTCTTCAGTTGGAGGGACCTTCCTCCACAATCCAGAGTATGGGGAGGTGCAGTGCTGCATCTGAGGTGAGTGGGCATAGACATGCCCGGGCTTGATGGACGGTGCTTTGTTGTGAGCCACATGCTGGCCTTGGTGTCTGCAGCTGAGTACTGAAGCTGCAGTCTTAAAGCTAACACTCTGCTTCATGTGCTGCCATTGCCCCTCAGAAGTTCTGATACGATCAGTAAAAATACTGCCAGGAGCCCAATACCCTCTGGGTGTTTTGCTTTAAACTTCATGTAGCTCAGTACAGTGCCTTGTGTGGTACAGCCACAGGCCCAAAGGCTGTGTGGGGCCAGAGAGACCTGCTGTGCTGTGTCTGAAAGACCCACCACCCTCACCCCATCTTACTACTGTAGAACAGGAGCACAGGATTCCTGAAATAAGAAGCAAAGAGACTTTTCTGGCGTTTCCAGTCAGCAGATGAGAACCTCCTTGCCGTCAGGAGAATAATGCTGTCTGGTATGAGATAAAATCAGCACAGTGATCTAGACAATCAATTAGAAAAGGTCCTGAGGCAAGTCCTTCCTGTAAGGATATGAAGATTGTGTCCCCGAAGCCTGGACGCTTACTGATGCGACGCAGTTAGACTTCCTGATCATTTCCTCCATGGATAACTTGGGATAGTAAGCCAGGTAGAATGCCAGTGCTCCCACAAAACTGTCTCCAGCTCCCTAGAATAAAATAACAAACAAGCTTAAATGTATTTGCACAGGGAAACAATTCAGATGTCTTTACCGGAAAGACAGAAGTTGCAGCAGTGATTGCAGGAGTCAGGACATTGTTCAGGGGTTGAATTCAATTCACTTTTCTATGCCTAGGCAATTCTGCAAAATTAAACTAATGCCACAATACTACCCTTGTACCCAGCTGCCAAGTCAAGGTGCGCATTTACAATATGGCTTAAAACTTAAAGAAAAATAAAAGCAAGTGTACTACAGTTCAGCAAGATGCTGTTATAAACACTGCTTTCAAAACTTCCTGTTGTTGGAGTGTCTGATTTTGATTTCTCAACCTGGATGTTTCATTAAAGCTATTTTTCTCTCATTTAACTTCTGTTTTTCATAAAGGTCAGTGGTAGAAGGGGCAGAGAAAAGGGGAAAAGAATGGCCTGTGGTGTCCGTTGCAGAATGATACATTTTGATGCTTCCAGAACTTAGCTGTTTTGTTCACTAAAAAGGTCCCATTAACAAAGGTCTGTGCTGTGTCTGTCACATAAACCACCCTTATTTCTGGGGGCAAGCTTTGCCACCTGAGATTGACCATGGGGGCGGAGGACAGTGACATTCCCTTGGACCTCTGGCAGCTGTGGCCCTCTTAAGGATCATCTCTAGGCCGTGCCTTGCCTGCCCCTTGGGAGCCTTTGGGAGGCAGGGAGTAGGGAGCAGGGAGCATGCTTGCACCACATGGGCACCAACCAGCCCTGGCTTGGCTCTGACCCTCTTGCCCGGATACCACTGGTTCTGCTCTGGGCAGCAGGGAATGACAGCTGTTTGCCTCCCAAGGGCCTTTTAACAATAACTGTTGTTTTGCCATGTTCAGTGCTATGCAGTGACCCCAACAACTGGCAAAACTCAACTTGATTGATTATCATTTTTAACTTGATTTGCTCATTTTGATCCACAGTGTCCTTCCCCCCTCCTCCCCTAAAATTGGCTTGGTTTCTAAGACCAGACTGATACCAATTCTTCCTAGTACCATAAAACTAGTCCTAAGATCCCTTTTTTTTTTAATCATACTTTTATACCAGCAAAAGCATTACACTGGACACGCTAGAAGTATCTTATTTCATTCCAGAACCAGCATATGGACTATCTCCCCTGAGAGGTTTTGCCTCTGTAGTTGTAATAAATAGGCCCCAAGAGTCATGGGACAAGAGCAAAGGGCCTGGACAAAAACTTAGTTAAAACAGCTGAGCAAAATTTCTAATGGAACTTAAGGCTACAAAATAATTTTCCAGTTTTGAGTACAGTGGTTCTCAGCCTTAAACTCCTACTTACCCTAAAATCAGCTGCATATGATATTCTGGCAAAACAATGCCACTTCCACAGAAATGTGTTCGTAACATTACAAGCAGCTGACAGGGCAGAGCAGTGTAACCACTGCAAGGGAACCCTAAAGCAGTGAGTGCAGGATAGGGGTGCCTACCCCATGCCTGGCCTCTCCTTGCCCAGCCCTTCCACAGTGGCTGTTTGCATTGGTGTTCCCAGTCAGGAAACTCCCTGCTTAACACTTGCTTAGCCTGGAGTTTGGATACTCTCTTTTATTGGGGTACAGCGAAGAGCATTGCCTGGCAAATGACAAGTTAACAAGTGAAGCTGCACCCTGGCCTGCAGCTGTAGCAGCACCTGTTTCAACAGTTCTGTATTCCTGAACATAACAGGGGCAGGTGAAGGTTTTTATCAATTTCTGTTGGGCCTTTGTCTCCCTTCTGGTTTCCGGAGTGCTCCCACAATGGCAGGTGGAGCAAGAGCAGGTGACCGCTAGTTAAGCATTGCCAGTGTCTTTTGTCTGATGCATAATACAAAAATCTCCAGCCCATCTGAGAGTTTGTAATCTAATCAGTGCATGATTAATTATTAAAGCTATTTTGGTACTGTTGTTACAGACAGAAGTAGAATTTCTGCTGTAGCTCTACCAGGAAGAATTCGTCATTTTTACATCAAATATCTCTCATACAGTGATCACTGGGAAATGGAAGTGGCCAAATATTTTAATGAGGAATACTCAGAATATCTGGTGTCGAATAGCATAAATTATTACTCGACAGCAGCATAGAGCAGAATACTATCTTTTTGATTATTTTTTTTTTAATAATTGCCGCACTGTTGGCTATTGGAGCCAAAAAAAAAAAAAAAAAAAGACAACTGCCTGTCACCCAGGCCTTAGTATGACAGTGAAATGGAATGCAAGTTCTCCCTGCAATGTTACTGTGCCTCTCTGCATGTGGGTGATGCTCTCAGGTTGTGAAAGGGCCGTAGATCTCCCTTTTGGTGGGAATGAATAATGATAAATAACTCCCAAAGCAAAAAACTAGGAGAACAGCAGACTTCCATGCAGAATGGAAAAAGGCCTCCTAGCATTTTTTTACAAGATGGAAAATTACAGGATGATTGGAGAATATACAAAAGGATTTGATGCCCGTAAACTTTTACTGAAATCCTTACTTCTCATACATAATTGAAGTAGTCAGTAACTCTAAAGCTCAGCTCCTACTGACCCCAAGGGTATAATAAATTCAGATGTTGGTAAGTAAACGTTTTGTGAGGGGGGTGTTTTCAATACAGGAGCTGCTGCACAGAGAACAGCATCGTGCATCAGACCGATTATGTAGATACCCTGTTCAGCCTTGCTTCTGGTCTGTGCAGACGTGACTGGTCAAACATGACTTAAAGAGCAATAGCAGAACTGATTCAGCTGCAAGGTTAACTCCAGTAAGAACTATTTTTGGCTTACAGAAACAGACCTTCCTTCTTTGGTATCGTGGATTAAACTACATGGTGTTTGGTAGAATCAGAGAAGGTCAGCTCAGAGCAGAAGAAGGAACAGACACAGAGTGAAATCAAGATTGTCCAAACACTGGAATAGCAAATAGTAGCTTTACATTTACCTGCTTCAAAGCCCGCTATAAGAAAAATAATTCTCACCTACTTCACAAAAATAATGAATTTGAAAACAACCAGTAAGGTGCATTTTTTCTGCCCACTGACAAAATATAAACACAGAGTATATAATATTTTGCATTCTTCAGCATTTGTTTTTCAGGAATTCTAATATACTCCAGACTGAGATAATCCTTTTATTTTTGAGAGCCTGGAGACAATTCATTCCATAATTATACAAGTTATTTAACCTTTCTGTAAAGCAGGAGATGCTAGTTTGTATGAAATAAAATAAAGAATTCGATTTAAAAAGTTGTCTGATATGGTGTGGCTCATTCTAAAATGCAAATGTCATGGTTTTGACTAAGCTTTATGGTTCTGAAGCAGTTTTAAACCTATTTATATTCTGTGCCACTAGTCTGGAAGGTCCTTGTTTTTCTGTGTGTCTGGAAAAGGGCATTTTTGTTTCTTACAATCCAGCACTGACTGAGATCCTGTGCCTCTAGAGAAGAGAAAACACTTCTATTTATACCTTAGCTCTTGTTATTCCTGATTTGTCAGAAGCTGGTTTACAACTTCAGTATAACTATTTTTATATGATGCTGCCCTGAGAAGCTTTTTAGGGAAAGTGCTTTGTAAGTGGAAACTATATTGTTCAACAGCCTTTCCAGCAAATAAAGCCTTTTTCAATCCGTCGTGCACAGCATAATAGGATGCATTTCACAATAAGATGACTTGCTTACCAAAAAAAAAATCGGAGGCCACAAGGCCAAAAGCTACAGTTCACAGAGTGGCAGCAGTTGTACTGCCTTTTTCCTGGGCAATCTCTTCCTCAGCCTTTGCCTTGCCAGCTTGTCCTCTTAGGCAAGGGCAATGGCGACCATGTAAGAACAGGAGGGAGCTCTGGTTTCTGAAGCCTGACGTTGTTACTGAACCTCAGAAAACTTTTCTTGTGTGATCTTTCCAAGAAGTCACAGTCCATGTGTGCTCTGGATATTACAGGGTTTCATTCCATTAAATACAGTGTAAGAGCATGTTACCAAGGCCTAAAAGGAACACCCTAAAAGGATGTTGTTTAGCAGTAAAAGAGAAATGTTATGCCTGTGATGATAAATTCTTCATTCAGTGAATAAATCAGAACATCAATCCAAAGCTGTCAGAAACTGCCTTATAATGTAGAACCAATGACACTGCTCTCAATGATGCTTATAGTCTCCCAGGAGCATTCATAGCAGTGCACAAATGAACGAAGCCTGAGGATTACACTGATTTAGTGCAGTCTAAATCCATGGCAATGCAGAGATGCCCAACTCTGCGAAGGAACTGGGCCTTGGAGAATTCCTGCTGTATTTATAGCACTCCACAACTGTGTGATACTGGATTATGCTAAGGATGTTAGCACTCTGTCACATCTGCTCAGCATTCCTTGCTGTACCCCTGCCTACTTCTGTACCCAAACTGCAAATTAGCCCTATGTAACACAAAACCAGCTGTCAGCGAAGATGCTCACTATCCATTCCTCATAAGTGGGGAAAGCCTATGTCTCCCTACAAAAATCCCTGGGCTATGCTTTGATGAAAGGTTACTAGTGGAACTGGAGAAACATTTCCAGCCTTCAGATATATTCAGACAGTCTTGTGCCGAGAGGGTCTGTGTTTCAGCTATGAGATAATTTCAGCTGAAATGCTCAAGGAGTAAAATACCCTTCGGTGACTGTGTGTGGTGCGTTGACCCTGGCTGGATGCCAGGTGCCCACTAAAGCCACTCTGTCACTCCCCCCCCCAAGCTGGACAGGAGAGAGAAAAGAGAACGAAAGGTTCATGGGTTGAAATAAGGGCAGGGACCAATTACCATCACAGGCAAAACAGACTTGCCTTGGGAAAATGAATTTATTGCTAATCACATCAGAGTAGGATAATGAGAAATAAACCCAAAACCTAAAACATCTTTCCCCACCCCTCCATTCTTCCTAAGCTTACACTTGGGATTTCCAATTTCTCTACCTCCTCCCCCTGCAGCAGCGCAGGGGGAGAGGGAATGGGGGCTGTGGTCAGTTCGTTCATTCCATCTTG